CCTCTTATCCTTCATACAGAAACATTTTGACAAGAATATTCTGATACCTGTTAAGCATATTGTGGTTGTATAAAGCTTTAGCAACTTAGTTTTACTTATTTATATAAGAAATGACTACTGGCTTCGCTAGTTTTTACAGTTAAACGGTTAGAATTTATTTTAAGAAATAACAAAGTTTGCTATTTTTTTTAATCATTCCTTCGTAAATTTTACGGATGCAATAACGAGGTGGTTGACCGTTATGGAATAACTGTTTCACAGATGAAGTCGGATATGTTCCTTATGTCGTAATTACAATCCCCTTTCCTTTTTGATGAATGTGATCTACCTAATCAGCCTATTTAGCAAGTTTGTAATAACATTAGCAACACGACGGGTGCCACATGTGGAGCAGGATCTGCTTACCCTTCCGGAGCACCTCAGATCACCTTAATTGTTTTGTGGGGTTCGTGTTGCTGTTGTACCCATATTTTTCACATGTTTACCTATTATGTCTGTTTGTTTTGTTCACACATCGTTGTCAAGATAATGGAATTTGATGCGACTGTCATACAAATGAGAGGTTTAGCTAGCTTTAAACGCAGGTTTAATTCACCATTTTCTACCGGAGCACCTGAGATCACCCCTAGTTTTTGGTAGCGGTCGTGTTGCTTATTTTTAGTTGTCTATGTTGTGTCTTGTGTACGATTATTTGTCTGTTTATCTTTTCCTTTTGATCCATGGCGTTGTCATTTTATTTTCCATCTATGAGTTTGACTGCCCCTCTGGTATCTTTCGCCCCTCTTTTGTTTTCATTAATTTATCGAAAATTCCGAATTTATGATAATTGTTCAAATGAAAATATAGTCTTGCTGTAAAAATAGTATTAAGCTATAAAATAGAAAAATGGACAAATATATAAAAACAAATAGATTTCTTTTTAATCTTTTAATTTCTTTTTACCATGACATTCATCTTTCGATAACTTATTATACTATGTAACACAAAATGTTAATTGTAATGCATGAAAAAGCAGGACCAGGACTATGATATGTGTGGTATAATTCTCTACATGTCGATTTGTTTACATTGATGCGACCGGTTCTTAAAAAGTGTCATGATATCAAATGAAGCAGATGCCACTTCAATTGCTTTCTTTTGTTGAAGAATCGTTGACCTCTGACTGAATACGAAACAACTATTACATACATTGCAAAATCAATATTGAAAAAAGTAAAATCACAAAAATACTGAACTACCAGGAAAATTCAATCGGAAAGTCCCTAATCAAATGGCAAAATCAAATGACAAAACACATCAAACGAATGGACAACAACATGATTTAATCTTGTAAGGTTTGTGTTTTTGAAAATTTACTTGATGATGGTATATTTAGTTTGACCTCAATTGACTTTGAAACTTTTGTTCATTGATTCCTGGTACATTGAAATATACCCTGCATTTTCTTGTATTTGCATTACGTGTAGCGATAAACAGATTATCCTATATGTTTGACAGAACGTAATTATAGTTGTAATAATGATCTCAACCAAGGACATTCTATTGTGAGAAAAGTACAAATGCTAATAACGTGCTGTCTTCTTAAGACAGGGTTTTTATTCCTGCTATATTTAAATTCAAGGTAATTTTTAGAGTGCATTTTGTAAACCACAAATTTTATTAAAAATATTATTTGTATAGCTTTAAATGGATCAAAGAAATGCGGTTAAATATTCATTGATCAGATGATTGCAGGTAAAATATGAACTTGTGTACACCGTTCTGTCTAGGTAATATTATTCATTTCTAAATTTAACTAAAAAATTCCATTTACTTTTATTGGCCGTGTTTTTTAAAATTCCAAAAATAGAATCGATTACATAATTGCATTTTGAACATGGTAAAGCCCTTTAAGACAGAATTTGTGTTATGTATTTCTTGAAACATTTGTATCATAGTAACAGTGTATGTCATGATGTCTTTTGATAGAAAGGTTTAATTTATGATTATTAATTTGATAGCTTTTTAATGAAACATTATCAGTTTATAATAAAAAGTGTGACCCCTCTTATTTGCAACATATCAAATTAAAAAAATAAAATGATTTCATGATTTTTAAATATTTGATAATAATATAGAATGTGTTATTGCTTCATATAATATTAGTCACTATAGTCATACTTACCATACATACATACCATACAACTACAAGCAGACAATGCCATATATGTTTTACTACGAAATCTGCGATGCTCTTAAACAAATCACTTACCAACTATAATTATCAAAAGCAAGATTTGGGCCTGTTCACATGCGCTTAAAAAATTAAAATGTTTAAAATGATGTTTATTGTATTAAGCTTGTTAGCTCATAAAACAACCAATTATATTTGAAAAAAACAATCTTAAAAAGATATAAAATATTTTTGTTATCTAAAGTTTAAACATTTAGAAATTGGAAATTTAAAGAAGACACGGTATTATTTTCTTTTTACACAGATTGTCGAAGTAAAATGGATAACGATCATCACTTTTTGTATCCTCCCTTCTTCCAAAATCATGTAAAACCACACCAAAAACATTATTGGCATAAACATTCAAAATTGAATTGAATTGATTGATTTGTGTTTTACATAATGTTACTGAAAATCAAATCAATAGCTGTAGGTTAAAGTAACTGCATATGTTACAAATCAAAACAAAAGATAGAAGATTTCCATATTAATATATTGATTAAACCGACGTATAAAAGATGTCGATAGAAAATCTTTCTGTATAACTTACACGTCATTGAGCTACCTTACAGTTATACTGTTTTCACCAGCAATTTACCGTTACAGGTAAGGTCTTTTTATAACGAATTGACAATAATTTATATTTGCATACTCTCAACTGCATCCCGTCAATGTGTTTGTATTATCTTTCATTTTTGCTGATGTGTTTTGTACGTGTGACTTTTTGTGTTTCTTTGGTACATATGACGTGGCTCTGTACTTTTAAAGATCCTGCCATTATGTTATTGTTCTATTATAATTTTGAAAATACTTTGAACGACAAAATTATTTTACTCGCGTAGTGGTATTAACCATATGTGGATTCTAAAAAATTCTAAAGAATTTCTTGATAATTTGAAATCTCGGTCTTTTTCTCAAATTAGTTCTAACAAAAACTTTTGCTTTTTCAACCCTGTATACCACCATTCCCCATGTGAAATTATAATTTTGAAAATACTTTGAACGACAAAATTATTTTATATTTCTTCCTGTTTGACGTTTACATTTTCTGACGTCAAACACTCGACTCTATACAGCAAGAATTGATGTGAATGCAGTCACAGAACTTCAAATATTTCAATCCTTTATGGGTTGATATAAAATACATATATAAGTAAGCAATGGTTGTTAAATTTGATAGATACTTTTTGTGCTTATTTGTTAAATATTTGTTTGTTTTGAGATTGTGACACAGTGATGACTGCTGTACCCATATTATGACAATGTTACCTATTATGTCTGTTTTGTTCACGCATCGTTGTAAATATAATGGAATTTGATGCGACTGTCATACAAGTGAGAGGTTTAGCGCCATAAAACCAGGTTCAATCCACCATTTTGTACATTTGAAAATGCCTGTACCAAGTCAGGAATATGACAGTTTTTTTCCATTCGTTTGATGTGTTTTATCATTTAATTTTGCTATTTGATTAGGGACTTTCCGTTTTGAATTTTCCTCGGAGTTCAGTATTTTTGTGATTTTACTTTTTTCTTATACGTTTAGGTATTTCACATCCAATTGTTTTATGGTAATATTCTTTACAAGGCACAAAACTGTCGACATTCACCTCAAAAGCTAATCAAACCTTTAAACAGACTTATTGGGAAGGGATATAGTTACGATACTGTTGTTAGGTCATTAAAGATTGCATATTTTGGCTTTAAAACTGATTCACTTATAGGGTCTTTGCATCGGAAATGAACACATTTATTCTAAAACCAGCTTTTGGTATGATACGGGTTATGTTCTTCTCATATATTTTATGATGGTATAATCCTAAACCCCTAACCGGAGGGATTATGCTTGATTTTCATATGATGAAGACATAATCTTTCAATCAGTTTAATTGAGGTCTGGAGCTGGCATGTCAGTAACTGCTAGTAGTCCCTTGTTAATTTATGTATCATTGTCATTTTGTTTAGTTTCTATTGTTATCTATTCTGACATCGGACTCGGACTTCTTTTAAACTGAGTTTTACTGTGCGTATTGTTGTGTGTTTTTGTTTTTCTACATTGGCTAGAGGTATAGGGGAGATTTGAGATCTCAAAAAACATGTTTAACCCCGACCCTTTTTTGCGCCTGTCCCAAGTCAGGAGCCTCTGGCCTTTGTTAGTCTTGTATGATTTTTAATTTTAGTTTCATTTATATATATTTCGGAGTTTAGTATGACGTCCATAATCACTTAACTAGTATACATTTTTGTTTAGGGGTCAGCTAAAACACGCCTCCGGGTGCGGGATTTTCTCTCTGATTAAAGACCAATTGGTGGACTTCGGCTTTTATCTGTTCTATGGTCGGTTTGTTGTCTCTTTGGCCCATTCCCCATTTCCATTCTCAATTTTATTGTTAAACCATTTTCGATTGATGTAAATATTATTTGATATCTGTTTATGTAATGAAAAACTCAATCAATGTGAAGGAAAAAAGGATAAAACCAGGACTAAAAATTGCTTTACTCATCAGTGGCGTTCCAGCTAAAAAAAGTTAACACACTTTGCATAACTTACGAAGTTGAAGAACACTGGGGACAGAAAATGTCGAAAAGTTTTGTCATAATATATTATAATATATGACTGTTACTTTGCTCATCTCTTTAAAAAAATCTCACTACATATTATAAGTAATAAACGTAATGTACTGTTGACAGAAAATAACAATTACAGTACAGTTCACAAAAGCTGTTTTGCACCTGTTCCAACATTAGGAAATACGATCGATACTTATATATAATGGTGATCACATGACTTTTGTGTATAAAACAAAACGCATTCGATCATATCGCTACCTATTTCCGACTTTTATTACGGCTTGGCTGTTTTACACTTTTTTGTAGAAGGTATGTGTTAAATGTAAATCATTAATATTACGTTTTCATTTACTTTTTAAAAATGATTAACAAAAAAGTTTAATGTTAAATGTTTAAAAATATACATTCTTCATATGTATTTCTTTATTTCTGATTTTGATCTTAAACAAAATCAATTGTTAATTTTCGGTTTTCTTATATTTTAAGTGTAATATGTGTATATTGCGTTCATCACTCCCAGATATACTTTCATGTTACTCCATAACAATAATACTGATACGTTTCAAAATATATATTTGTATCGTGTGCGTAAGCAGCTATTGTGTTGATATGACAATGTCTATCTATAAATCGGATCCTAGGTGACCTCTTCCGTTTAGGAAAACAACAGGACAAAAGTCGCATTTTGATAGTCATCGATTCTATATTTTATTCATAAAAGAGGGACAAAAGATACCAGAGGGACAAGCAAACTCATAGATCGAAAACAAACTGACAACGCCATGACCAAAAACAAAAAGACAAACAGACAAATAATAGTACAGATGACACAACATAGAAAACTAAAGACTAAGCAACACGAACATAACATGTATATGAGAGGTATTCGGTAGATGCCTCTTGACAACACGTGTTTAGTGAAGTGTTAATACATATTCTGGTTGTTACAATATTAAAATTTTTACAAGCGCGATGTTTTGCAAAGAGTAAAAAATTATATTTCATCTGGATTGAAATTATTGTTTCAACCAACATGTTTCTATGTATTCAATTAGGTTTCATTTGAAGAACTTTATTTCATCATGGGTTTACCGACACGATGGGTTATACATATACACATTAAATATAAACTGGCATTCGTTTCATACCACCGAATTGTGTAAAAGTTCATTCATGACCTTCTGTGTTTTGTAAATAGCTGTATGTTTATAGTCAGTTCATTCGACCTAACTAGTATCTTTTTTAATAACTCATACCATTGTTTTATCACCCTCACGGTAGATTTGAACCATGACCATTTTAAATTGATTTTTGATAATAATGTTTAATGATCTCGGAACGGCAGACCTTAGTGGAAATAAAAAACAACACCCCCTTTATTTACACGTGTTAAAGAAAACAAACCTTTAAAGAAATGTTATCAACATGCATCCAATGAGTACACCAGTGTTCAAATATTAATTGTTTAATCGAAAGTTTATTCTAGTAATACCCGAATTGATTCAATAATGGAAAAAGAAATTAAGTACATATCTTTTTAGAAGGTAGCGTCTTAATATTGGAGAACATTTCCAAAATTGTCGCTTCTATGAACTTAGCACAATAAATCGAACTGTGGATCAATTATGTCAAGTAGGGAATGCACGGGACTGGTTTCTTCCTAAACAAAGCTGTAAATTAGGCGAAGCGTCTGTCCCAATAAAAGAGATACATTGTTTATAAATCCATTGTATTATTCTAATTTTAACACAGTCATTGAAGGTTTTGATCTATCGCCTGATTAAAATATTATTCATTTGTGCAGCTTGAGTCAATATCTATAAAAGTCATATTACGTTTAAAAGTATCTCTATGGGGCTGTGTGTAGGACGATTAATAAATGATTGAGACATTAAATTTGAAATTCAATCGATCAATTTATGCATATTTATACACAATCGTCAACTCATTATATGAAAGAATCTATACTATAATAAAACTTACCAACCGTGAATTTTTTTTTGAAAAGTTTATTAACGATTAACTTGAGAAATAAAATGAAACGATTTAACGACTCTTTACAAAAAAAATAGAATGGTGTATTATATTTTTTATTCGATTCAGCATGAATGCATATTTGTGTCTATATTTTTTTTTCACAATCATGACTTCATAAATCAACTGAATGGATCGAGAATAACTGTGATTTTGCCTGGCAATGTACTGGAATTGTTAGAAATCATACCAACAAAAAATCGTATGCAAAGCGCGGTAAACATCAATGAGACAGCTTCCAGCTGAATCACTTCCACAGATGTATCCAAATCTCCATATACAGTTTGTCTTTTGCCTTGATTTATGCTCCTTTTAACATGGGTGGGCATTGTATATGTCTAAGTGTAAAATGTTGTATAAAATAAAGTCTACCCATGAGGATTCCACCTAGGTTAATTTTCTTGTTTTTCAACACTTTTTCTTGGTTTTTTTTCGCAATCTATCACAAACTATTTTTTTTTATTTGTTATCTTTCTTACAATAAAAGTCAGTTTTTAACATTGGTGTCTCTTTATTATAGATCAACGTAGCTATCAAACAATCTACATTCAGTAAAAACGACCATTTCTGATTTTCAGTATTTTTTAAATGTACTAAAAAATTGCTATCTAAATCACGAAATGATCATATTTAACTTCTGGGCGCACGAGATTAAATCTCATTCAATGTATCGAATAATGTCTATCCAGTGGAAGGACATAGATAAAAGTCGAAGACTTTTGAAAGTTTTTCATCTAAACAAGTTTTCTTTTCCAGTCATTCATTAAATGTTAAGGTTTAGACCTTAAACTTGGCTTCAAATACATGTGCTAATAAATCCTTTGTGAGTAGCCACAACAATGCAATCAGCAGATTATTTATGGTTTCTGTCAAAATCGTAATGAGTGACGAGTTTAAGGTGAAAATCAGAGTCGTTTTATTAGGGAGAAATACTGAGAAACTTAAAAATATAAAAAAGTGTGACGAAGACAAACCGTCATATTGCTTTCGTCAAGAATGAATTATAAGCGCCACTATTTTGATTTCATCGCAAAATGCGTAATGTTGACCCCAGGCAGAAACCCTGTTACCCATGTTAAAATGAGCATAGAGCATGGAATAATATAATTATTTTGATTGTAATTATTAAATTATGTGTGCTTCGAGTTTGATCTAAAATACACATTTGAAAGGCAGCCACTTTGATTTGATGAAGCCAAAGCGTTATTGAAAATCAACCGTTTCACGAAAGAAAATAGCAAATTTATTGAAAAAAAAATAAGAATGACTTAGTGTAATTTTCTAATAAACAGCACCAAAACAAATGTCCATTTTTATCTCCAGTGACGTTGAAACTTAGTTGTGACGTCAATAAATAAAGACAACAGTAGTATTCCGCTGTTCAATATGCATAACTCGATTAAGCACAAAAAAATCCGGGTCACAAACCAAAACCGGGAAAAGCACAGCAACTATAAGAGAAAAACAAACGCCAACATACATTATGTACAGAAAAACGCACTTTTTTTTTTATAACAACTGCTATATTCCTAACGGATTTGTTTGTGCTTAATCGAGTTATGCATATTGAACAGCGGAATACTACTGTTGTCTTTATTTATTGACGTCACAACTAAGTTTCAACGTCACTGGAGATAAAAATGGACATTTGTTTTGGTGCTGTTTACTAGAAAATTACACTAAGTCATTTTTAATTTTCTTTATTCAATAAATTTGCTATTTTCTTTCGTGAAACGGTTGATTTTCAATAACGCTTTGGCTTCATCAAATCAAAGTGGCTGCCTTTCAAATGTGTATTTTAGATCAAACTCGAAGCACACATAATTTAATAATTACAATCAAAATAATTATATTATTCCATGCTCTATGCTCATTTTAACATGGGTAAAACGGAAACAAGCCGGGTCACAAACCAAAACCGGGAAAAGCACAGCAACTATAAGAGAAAAACAAACGCCAACATACATTATGTACAGAAAAACGCACTTTTTTTTTATAACAACTGCTATATTCCTAACTTGGTACGTCAATCACGGGATAAATTTCAAAACGAAATAAGTACGTCATATAAAAACATGTCCATTTACGTCTAACGTAGATTTCACTTTTCTGACAGGATGTTTGATTTATGAAAATAAGAAGATGAAAATATTAGAGGTAAGTGATCGTGTATTCAACCATATTTTTTAGTGTAACTGCATCCCTTTAAAATAGGAACATTGCGATCAGACAATGATGCAATCATAATACTTAGTCATTGATATATTATTTTGAGTTGTCCATGTCTTTGATGCACTGCAGTTAAACACCTATGCATGTCAAGATATCCGATATTCTAATTAGTAACAATTTTATTTTCGCTACTCTCTACAAAGTGCGAATCTCTGCAAATAAATTTCCTATCAAAATCATAACTCCTCAGAATAAAAGCGTTCTAGGCGGACAATATCAACAATAACTTTGATTTTCATTTTTTTTTGTCCAACAGTAATTCGTTGAAAATGTGTTCCTCTCAATTTTTGTTTAAAGTTAGATAATGACTTTATTGCGACTGTCATATAAGTGAGCGGTTTGTCTAGCAAAACAATACAGGTTTAAGCCTCCACTTAATGTCTTATCAAATCAGGAATATGACAGTTGTTATCTATACGTTTGATATGTTTTAACTTTTGATTTGCCATTTTCTTTGGGAATTTCTGTTTCGAATTTTCCTCGGTGTTTTTATTGTTGTACTTTTCAGTCGTGATATGAGTGTTTTATATGAACGAAATATCGACTTGTTTTTATTCAGTTTTATTTAAATAAATCTTAATTTAACTTGATTTTGTAAATCAACCCTAATAAGTATCTGTTTTACAACTGTCTCTTTTCTTTTTTAGATAATTATAAACCATTATGGATCATGGTGCTGATGGGGGACGTTAAATTTCATCAATTAACCAACAGTCGTCTGGTGGGAGAACGACGTTATAAACTATAGCAACATACTTCTACGTTTCACAAGTGTCTGTTAACATCATCAAAGACTTGCTTGGCTTGTTTCTGTTTTACGACTTGATATGGACCTGCGAATTTTATCATTTTGGACTTGCGATAACCGGATTTATCATTTTGGATTTGCGATAACCGGATTTATCATTTTGGACTTGCGATAACTGGATTTATCATTTTGGACTTGCAATACTCAGATTTATCATTTTGGACTTGCGATAATCAGATTTATCATTTTGGACTTGCGATAACCAGATTGATCATTGTGGATTTGCGATATCTAGTTTTATCATTTTGGACATCTTTGGACTCATCTTTGTTTAGAATAAATGACAACGAAAAGTGTTAAAGAATAAAAAAATGATTACATTAAACAAATAAAAGTTAAATATTTCTTGCAGTTTTCCTTTAACATGTGTGTACATGGGAAGTTAAAACATACCTCATTGTATTGTATGAACGCACATTGATGCCATATCAGTGTATAACACACAAGTGATCTGATTTTTGCTCAATATATTGTATTATTTTTTAAACAATAATGTAAGCTTTGGATACAAAAAAAAATATGAAACAAATGAAGAAGAAAAAGAACGTGATCTTAAAAAAACAAGAAAAATCTAAATCGTTTAAATTATTTTCGAAATATTTTAAATCAGCTCACGTCAGATTAATATTTGTGTTTCGTAACTCCATGAAGGACATATTTTAAGCATATAATACACACAACACGTTTTATAGATTCTGTTGGATTGCATGGTATGACATTCAACATGAAATGAAATTGGAAGAAAACATTTGCACAATCTACGAATACAAAGGAAAGCGTTTACATCATATGCGTTCTTGGTAGAAAGTCAAATTGACACTATCGATAAACCAATATACAATTAAAATTTACAAAAACAATATACAACTAACATTTTCAATTACAAACACGTGTTGCATAATCACAATATTGACGACTAAGTCTAAACCTCCTGATGACACCTTCGCTTGTTCTCCATTTATAAATAAAGCGGCTGGCCAAGTTATTACCGATGACCTCAACATTGTCAATACCACTTCTCTGCGAAATGTGTTATCCAAAGGTCAGAAATATCATAAATCCATCAATTGGAAACACAACTTCAAAATTCTAATGAATTCAGTAAAGGATTATGCCAGGCAATGGGTTAAAAGCAAGAAAAAACGCGTAGTAGATACGTTTGCCGAATGGATTAAGGTTGTGAGGTTGTTGATACAAATCAGAATTAGGGAACTGATTTGGCCTATCAATACCCAGACCCAAATGTTGCGAGGCACTTGTCCTACCTCCATTACAAATATGTTGTTGTCCCCAAAGATAAAGCCCCAAATGAAATCGTTTTTCTGTTTAAATCACATTACATCAACTGATGATAAATGAATTAGGTATTGACAATTCACATGAAAACTCAACATATACCCCCAAGACACTTACTCAAGAGGAAATCCTGGATAATAATAGATATGTTCTATGTTCCTTTAGAATTTTATAAAAGAAGAAGAATTGGATCTCATCACTGTATTGGATACCTAAATAACATAAGTGTCCCTACAAACAACAGTATATTGATTGGTCTTCCAAGTGCTCCACGAAAACTCTTTCTATAATATTAACATCAATTTTATCAGCTTTCAAAGCCGGGCTTCAAAGTTATTGTGAAACTGCCTATTTTAAAGGTGGCGTGAATCAGATGTTGAAACTAAAAAACCCAAAAGATCTTTTAGATTACATATAAACTTAGACTTTTTCATCTTGCATTAGTATAAAAACATTTGACTTTTCTACAATTTACATAGGTATTTCCCATTCCAAACAAAAAGAAAATTGATAGAGTTTGTATTGCTTTGTTTCATAAACAAATTGCCGACGTAGATACAAGTATCTTGTTTTAGGTAGGGATACATCTTACTAAGTAAAAATCACTCTACCAAGTCAGGAATATGACAGTTGTTATCCATTCGTTTGATGTATTTGGGCTTTTGATTTTGCCATTTGATTAGGGACTTTCCTTTTTGAATTTTCCTCGGAGTTTTTTTTATTTTTTTGATGTTACACTTTATTCTAACATAAAATTCTCTGAAATGGACATTTTGAAAATGTCCATTTCAGAGAATTTTTCTCAATCAAGAAATCAAGCATCTTGATGAGGCTTGATTTCTTGATTGAGAACATATTTGTTACGTTTGGACAACAAACTATCAGCATTCCGATGGGAACCAACTGTGTCCCTCTTCTTGCCGACTTGCTACTTTATTCTTTTGAGTCTGACTCCATACAGGAACTTCTTAAGTTAGCAGTATATTTCAACTTTACTTCCCGTTATATAAATGATGTTCTCTCACTAAACAATTCAAAATTTGGTGACTATGTTGAACACATCTATCCCATTGAACTAGAGATAAAGAATACGACAAATACGTTAAGTTCTGCCTCATATCTTGACTTACATCTGGAAATTGCCAATGAGGGTCAGCTGAAAACAAAACTTTACGACAAAATAAATGATATAAGCTTTCCAATTGTAAACTGTTCATTTCTATGTAGCATCATTCCAGCAGCGCCTGCATACGGAGTATATATCCCACAATTGATACGATATAGGGCTTGTATTTCCTTTCAAGATTTCCTTGATAGAGGGTTGCTACTCACAAATAAGCTTTTAAACCAAGAGTTCCAAATGGTGAAGTTGAAATCACTCCTCCTTAAATTGTACGGACCCTATCACAATTTGGTTGAACGTTATGGAATATACGTTTCACAGATGATATCGAATATGTTCCATGTGTCGTAACTACAATCCCGTTCCCTTTTTCACCAATGTGACCTATCTTATCAACCTTATTACCGGGTTTGTACTAACATGAGCAACACGACGGGTGCCACATGTTGAGCAGGATCTGCTTACCCCTCCAAAGCACCTGAGCCTCCCCCCCCCCCCCCCCCCCTCCCCCAGTTTATGGTGGGGTTCGTGTTGAAAAGTCTTTATTTTGTCTATGTTGTGTTTTGTGTACTATTGTTTGTTTGTCTTTTTCTTTATTTTTCATGAGGTTGTCAGATTTAAATGAGAAAACTTATGCAAGTTTTTGAAACATCTATTACTTTCAGGGCTTGATAGTCTAGAAAAAATTATTCAAAATAAAAATCCCATGCTATTAACATATATGTGTACAAAATCTATTATAATATGTTGAATAAGGTAGACTGAAAAAGCAAACGAATAATTCAACATAACACAAATAAAATTAATAAAGGTGTCTAAACAGCATAAACATGATATTACAGGATTTAAATTTGATTTGATAAAAAAAAAAAGAAACAATTATCCGAATAAAAGTTCATTTACACAATTATTGCAAGCTTCTCCAAAAACATTGGTTGCATATAAGATAACATTTGTCATCCTTGTGATTAGGGTGTTATCTGACTATTTTCGCATTTGATATATATTTCTCATTTTACAGATTTATATCTGCTAGTTTGTGGTCATGTTACAGTAATGTCATAGATTTTTGTTATATTTTGCATACAATTATATTGAAATAAACTGATTCAACTCTTTTAAATTAGAGGAACATCTGGATAGAATGCACACCAACTCAGCATTGAAAAATGTCTTAAAACCTTCATATCCCTACAAACTGATGTATAGATTTTTCTTGAACATTGATATGTCGTTGATACATACATTTCCTTTTAATAAATACGCATAATGATTCATCGATTTTTTTTATAATCAACAATGCATATACCAATCTGTTACATAGTTAGTAGTAATCATCTGAGAAAAGACGATGTACGGCTTTCAACGCGACATAACATTTATCTCGACGTTTGGAAGTATTTGTCGTCCGCTGAAAGAAAATGTTCACTGATGTTTACCGACAAAACTGAGTGAGTGACCCTTCAACTTCATTAGCAGAAAAATGCATCAACAGTATACGTGCTTTTTGAAAATCTATGCATCTGTTATTGGAGGTTAAAGGATATCATACCACATTTAGGAAAGTGCTTTGGCGATTGTATGTGCTTTTTGTACAAATGTACATGTATTTTGTCATGAATTTCTTCAATTTTACATCTGAAAAAGAGAGATAAATACGTTAACTTTCGATTTTAAGATGAATTCATCATTCCAAAGTTTTATGCTAAATGATACCAAATCTGTGACAATCATTTAAATGGTTTTATTAAAAAGAAAAGTACATCAAATGACCATTATTAACACTCCAGTCGTCGGGTGAAATTTATCTTGTGAGAATTCAATTAAAGTAAAAAAGGCGACAATATGTAAACATGACTATAACTGTATGGTAATAAGAAATTCTTCACGGAAATGTTATGAACAAATAAAAAATTTATTCAAAAGAAAGAATAATATACTGCCTCGTGTATCATTTTTATCATATCGTATTCAGATGATATAGTGTTCATCATTCAATCACCAGAAAATATAAAAAATGTTAATAAACGGCCGAATAATAATAACTCCAAGGAGTTCAGTATTTTTGTGTTTTTATTTTTTAATTTTGAAAATAGCATGTTTAATTCAATTGATAATTTAAACACGATTTATTTTCTATATTGAGTTAAAAGCACACAATCATGCAAGTGATTATTTGACATGATGTGGGACATTTCTATCAAAATCAGTCAATATTAAAAGGGATCAACTTTAATAAAAGACTTGTTCATGCATTGTCATGCATCACAGTGTGTGTCCAAACTCAGTAAATACCAGTCTAAATAACATTAAACCTGATTTTGGTGATATGTTTCCACTAATACCACATCTTCTTATTTCTATGTTAACCGGGATTGTACTTCAACGAGCAACACATTCGGTGCCACATTTTGAGAAGGGACTGCTAGTTCTCATCGATCATATGAGATCAATATTGGTTCTTTTCCTATGTACAAGATGAAAGAGTTTAGTATATTGTTCATTTTTGTTTTCATCATTCAGGTTTCCTATAGTATAGTCAGTTTGTTATCGACTTTTGCGTCTGAGCATTTCTTTTAAATCTATAACCTGTCTTTTATTCAATACTTTTTTAAAATAAAACGTTAATCAAAATATCTACTGTAACAGTTATACTCACAGGTACTGATGGCTTTTGATCCTCTTTTCTTCCTTTTTGTTTTGTGTGTGCTTAAATTGTTTTTGAACAACTAAATATTCAGAAATATTTTTAATTGTTTTAGTTATTTTATGTATTCTTGCTTTTATGCGGACGATCTTACAATTACAAGTTTGAACGTGATGTCCCTCTATTCATATGATGCAGAATCTAAAAATAAAGGAACAGTACATAAAACGAATATCGTTTTATGGCAGTATGAAAACAAACAAAAACACACCAATCAGATGGAATAAGTATAATGACAAAGAAATGTTCAAACAAATATAATCTAAACAATGGTGGTTGGAGGTGTCTTAAGGGAAATTTTATGTTCCAAAAACCTGAGACTTCACTAACGGGCGAAAAACATCGACTGGATAGAGGCGCTCTAAACGATTTTAGTGAAGGCAAACTAATGGACACACCCTTATTCTGGCAATATGTATACAATAAAGGATTAAAGCAATTAATCTGTGAGGTTTTGGTTCGTATAACGAGCTATCATCCAAACGAGTGATATCTAACAGACATCGATCAATATCATAACTATCATATATATATATAGCTGAAGTAAATGATAGAGTTACAAAAAGAAAAATGGTCGAACGACATTATTGCTGCCCAGTCATGTTTTTTCCTGGATAAAGGAAATAATTTGATTTACGAACATCATATATTTTTTCTCATTTTTCCTATACAAAATATTCATAGTAAGGTGCGTATGTTTCATTATCGTTATTTTATAATTACATATTTTATTTAAGAAAACCAATGTTTTAGCACACCAATGTTATTTCCATAATCACTTATTTGGTTGACTTTAAATGAAAACCGTTTTTAAAACAAAATCATTTCATTGAACTTGGCGGTAATTCAGGAATAAACCGCCATTGACAAAAGCTATGTTTTATTTTCAGATTTAATTTTGCTATACGTTTTGTTAAATTTTACCATACACATTACGATATGATTATTTTGCATTTAAATGATCAATATGAAATTTAAAACAAAGAATAAATTATTGATTTTTAGAAAATAGAAACAGACATACAACTCAAATTGTCTCTTACGATAGTATTCCCTTTTAGAGACGGGAATTTTGGCTAGGTTTAATTGTTTGAATTGACCAATTGGTTTGGTATGAATAGGAGAAAGAACACCTCAATCAAATGAAATACAGTATCAGTAGGAAAGATGTTTTCTAAATAATAATCTAAACATTGGAAAAAAAAAAAAACAACCGTTTACATGGTCCAAGCGCAAACACGTTTGGTTTCATCTACGGGCGACAAAGTTAAGAGCATAAAGGCTCCTAAAATTGCATCTAGATAAGATTCAGTTACATTATACAAAAGATAAATTTAGTAACTTGTGTGTTTTGTTGTTTTTTTTGGTTCGGAAAACGAGTTGTGTGTTCCTGCTGAGAGCGGTATTCTTTGTTTCAAATAACCTAGTGCATGGTCATGATAGACATATTGTCCGACACTTTCATAACCAAGCGAGTACATGTATATACCCATATGATCCGATCATGCATAAGATACGATTGGTGTTAACGCATTCCATCTGTAAATGTCCAGTTATTAAAGGTTGTCTCTTTAAGAATTTAAGATTATTAATAAAAGTTATCTAGTCTTGCTTTTGCTTTATATATCCACCTTGCATTTGCTTAGCATTGTTGTCAGTGTGTTTTATTTCTGTCGATAATATGGTTTATTACAGACATTCTAAAGAAATCGCGTTTCCATATAGAACGTTCTTTTTAAAATGTTAGGGAATTGCTTTTTTTTCAAACAAAAGGCAAAATAATTACCCGAAAACAAATAAATATTTGACAGTGATCAATTTATATTGTAGGTCCTTTAGATAAAGGTGAATTGTGGAGAGAATTTAGATATGTATGTTGTTGTCGGAAACAATGTAGTGTTATCACATATATGATATCTTTTTTCCATAATAAACAATCCAGTTCCAGCTCATCATGTGATGTTGTATTTGTTTTTTATTATGTATTCCCTTTACTATTATTAGTTTATGTGAAGTGTCCTCTTTGTTCATTTTGATTCATTTTTAAGTTTTAAATTAAATTCTATTTAAAGAAAAGACATCTTAACACGCTTAAGTTTGTTAGTTATCATCATTTAACATTAGGATATGATTATTTTGCATCTCAATTTTCAATCTTTTAAGCAAAGGAAATTGATTGATTGTTGTCGACTTATGAGTTGGAATATCGTTCTCATATCTGTCGCCATTCTTTAACAAATTAAAACAAACGTACAACTCAAATCTTCTCTAATTGTTAGTTTTCCTTTTAAGACAGATAATTCTTTGCTATGTATGAATTTTTATTGGTGTCTTGGATTTTAATGAATGTCATACCAGTAAAAACTGGTGATTTTTAATTGGGGGAATAAGTGTTCTATGTATGATCTATAATGTTGTTACAGCTGGGATATATTGGTCTAAAATATGGCAATGAAGTGTAGTTGTTCTTTTAATGAACTTGATATATACGATATCACTTTTAAATTGCAATAAGAACTTTAAATAGTGTCTTTAATGATCAAAACTCGGATTCATTCTCCTTTGCTTTTTTGTTATTTATAGATTCAAATGGTTTGAAGAACGGTAAGTTACTGTCGTCTAAAAAGTAAAATCATAAAAATACTGAACTCCAAAGAAAATTTAAAAAGGAAAGTCCCTAATCAAATGGCAAAATCAAAAGCTCAAAAACATCAATCGAATGGATAACAACTGTCATATTCCTCACCTGGTACAGGCATTTTCTTATGTTGAAAATGGTGGACTAAACCTGCTTTTAAAGCTAGCTAAACCTCTCACTTGTATGACAGTCTCATCAAATTCTATTATATTTACAACGATGTGTTAACTAAACAAACAGACATAATAGGTAAAAATATGAAAAGTAGGGGTACAGCAGTCAACATTTTGTTATAATCTTCATCACTATAAAAACAAAAAAAATGTAATAAAGAAGTACAAAAGGCATATAGACCAAGCATATTGGCAATAATTAAAGCAAGAATACACAAATTTACCATAGAACAATAACACAATGACGGGATATATAAGTATTTACTTTTCTACATTTAATTTGTGCTATCTTGAATGATTTCTTCTTTATCTTCATTACATACATACTTTGAGGCATATGCATTTTGTCTGTTTGTTTCTATTGTTAGATAGTATGTCAATTGAAACAATAGAATAATGTAATTCAACCTTATTGTATATTTATTATACTATTTGAATCTAAAATGTAATCTCTATCGGACTTAAATGTCGTAGTACGTATTGGTGATGTGTACTTGAATTTACTGTTTAGTATTGTACAGAAACCGTTAAAATGTGCAAGTAGTTATATGCAGTAATCATGTATCGCCATTATGGTTAAATCTACTGTATATGAACTTTTTGGCGATTTGTTCATTTTCACGATTTTGACTGAAGTTTAGGCTGTTGATGTCAAGAAGTCTTTTACACTTGACCCTTACATTTTTTGACATATTGTTTTTTTATTGTTTTTGTATTGTTAATTTTCTTTTTTTATCATTTAATCTTAGAAATACTAGTAATCGTACTCCTAACTTTGCTAACAACCAAAAACAAACAATGCATAGTATCAAACAAACATTGTAAGTGGATGTTTTCAAACAAAGACACAATAGTTACCCGAAAACTAATGAATGTTTGACAGTAATCGATTTATATTGTAACACCTTAGGTGGATTGTGGCATGGATTTAGAAATGTATGTTTACCAGTAGCAAACTGCAGAGGCAGATATTTTCCCGTGATAAAAGGTAAGAACTAGCAGACACTTGTTTTTGGTAACAATTAAGTGTAATCAAATATATATTAGCTTTTTTAAAAAATATCCTGATCCTACTCTTCGTGTAATACTATAGTGTTTTTTATTATACATTCCCTAACCTGATATCCCTTTATGTGAAGTGCCCTTTTTGTTCATTTTGATTCATTTCAAAGTTTTAAATCAAATTCTTTTTAAAGAAAAGAGATGTTGAAATCACTGATTTTATCCGAAAAAAAGTTCTTGTTTTTGTTTGACTTCAAATGATCATCATTTTCAAAACAAAACTACTAATTGCTGATGAAGAAACAATTATTAAGCTATTTATATTTTTAATTATTATACTTTTTATGTATAAGTTAGTTTTGCGCTTAAGTTTGTAAGTTATAACCATTAAACTTTTACATTAGGATATGATTATTTTTGCATTACAACTTTTAATCCTTTAAGTAAAGTAAATAGATGGATGGTTTAACAAATGAAAACAAACGTGCAACTCAAGTCCTCTTTAATTGTTTGTTTTCCTTTTTAGACATAAATGTCCTATCAGCTTTTTTTTAACAATTTTTATTCGCGATGTGTGATTTTGTATTGATGTCTTGGATTTTAATGAATATCCTACCAGTAAAAGTTTTTATTTTTTAAGTAAGGGAATAAGTCACCATAAATTCCTAAATTGTTGTTTTTATATTTTTCTATGTATAACAAATTGTGTTTGATTCATTAGTTTTATATGATAATAAGGTTGTAACAGCCTGGATATATTGGTTTAAATGAATGCAATGCGATGTATTTGTTCTGTTAATGAACTTGGTATAAAAGGAAACCATATAAAATAAGCAAGTAATTAAATGCAGTAATCATGTGCTACTCTATATGAATTTTTTTCGCGATGTGTTCAATTTCACCATTTTGGCGGCTAGTGTGTTTCCACGAAAAAAGAATACACACGAATACAAATGCAGCTTACATTGTCCAAAAAAACTTTTAAATAACCATTAAATAGATTTAACCGAAACAATACCTGTACATGGGTTTACCTTACATAACCACTAATGAATTGTGAATCTGTAAAAACAATACCTATGATCGACGCACAAAACCAATCAAGGTTAGAAAGACAAACAGAAACAAATAATGCCCAAAGCATAACTAAACATATTATATTTGGAAATTTCAGTCTGTTAGTTATCGTTTGCTATTTAACGAAATACCGCGAATTTAAATACATATGATTGTATCGGCAATTATGAATTCGCTAAAAATAAGTAACCGCAATAAAATATAGTTAACTGATTTATGGGATTCAATTAATGACTCTTTGTACATAAAAATCAGATACTGATAGCTTTTTAGCGAGGCAAAGAGATACCAATCCGGTGGCGGAGACGGCATTCAGTATTTGTGAAACGTCTTAAAGTTCAGAAGGGAGATAACTTGGATGCTTTATACCTTGTATGCAGATGCATCATGTTATGAAGTAACCGTCTGGGATATGTCAAATTTTTGGCCTCATTTTATGGTTTAGAGAATGCTTGATATTATTTACCTACTTATATGTCAATATTACACTTATTGTGAGTAATAGGGTACATTTAATTATATTGATACGTCGCTTCCTTGAAAGATCTACATGTTTGTCAGACAGGGTTCATTGACCTCGACCTCATTTCATGGAGCAGTAATCAATGTTAAATTTTCGTGGTTAAGTGCGTATCTCAAATTCTATATGCAATAAGTCAACTGCATGTATATTTGGTATATGAAATAATTGTAGCATGCACATGTCTTGATTTCATGGTTAATTAACCAATCTTAATTCTTTTTCATATTTTGCTAATTTTTCAGATACCATTTGCAAAAACTTATCTATAGTTGGTGTACATAATGACCGTAACGTGTATATGTCTTCATGACATAGTTCATTGATCAATGTTAAGTTTTCATGGTTTTTGTCTTTTTATCAAGTACCATGAACAATAGGTTAATTTTAGTTGGTGTAAGGGATGATTGTAATGTGACAGAGTTCGTCTGACATTGACCTCATTTTCATGGTTCTTTAGTCTATATGAATTTTTCATGGTTATGTATGTTTCTTCAGATACAGTTAGCAATTGGTCAACTATAATATGGTTAAAGGAAGGATTGCATGGTGTATATGTTGTCTGACATGGTTTATCAATGGCCTCATGTTCAGGGTTCAATGATAAATTATCGTAATTAGGTCTGTTTCTCTGACACCATAAGCAATATTGTTTACTGTATTTGGTGTATGGTATGATTATAAGGTGCACTTGTCTCTCCGGCAGGGTTCATCTAACCTTCACCTCGTTTACATTGGTCATTTATAATGTTTTTGTTTTTTTTAAATCATAAATAAAGTATTCTGCTTATTTGAAAGTTTGATTTAAAAAATTTTGACCTTCAGAAAATGTTTTAGCACACCGATGATATTTCAATAATCACTTATTGTCTTTACATGAAAACCGTTCTTAAAACTAAACCATTTGGCTGTAATTCAGTGATAAATCGTCATCGACAAAGTTATGATGTTTACATTAGAGTTGTTTTGAGTATGTCAAATTTGTTGGATTTATAGAGGTGAAGAAAACAATTCAATTAAAAAAAAATCAGTTGGACAAATGTTTTGTTAAAAAAAAACTAAAAACACGTTTGGTTTCACTTCGGACGAACAAGTTGACAGGACAAGAGCCTTAAATTGAATATAGATAAGATTCAGACAATATGTCAAAGATAAAGAATATAAGTTAGTAACTTGCATGGTTTAGGATTTCGAGAACGAGTGGTGTGTTTCTGCTTAAAACGGTATTCTTTGTTTGAAATAACCTAGTATAAGTCTTAATAGAGCTTTCTCACAATCTGATGTACGCTTGACGAATCATACTTAAGACTTTTAGTGATCCTATATTTTGACTTAGTTATGTATAGTAAACAAAGTGTTATGGGACTTAGAAGGCATTTCACCTTCAGGTTTGCCTATTGACATGATTTAGGACCATTGAACCCGTCTTCAACTTCAATTTATTTTCATGATATCAATGTAATTTGGGACAAACTGAAGGTTAAAATATAATACCAAAAGGGGGCAGGAGATAACTACAAAGTTTCCTTAATATAGGCTAGTCCGAAGAAAACAAATAAAATAAAAGATTGTGTTCGCCTTGTGATGTGTCCATACACCGGAGTTAGGCTTAACTATGGAACTGTTCTTTCAGAGTATCATTGCGTTTCGTCCTGAACACTCATGAAATATTTTTCTCTTTACGTTAAACAACCAATGGTCATATATATAATTAGTTGATCTATAAATAGTATAACTATATTACTAGTTGAAAAACAGATCATGAAAATCATCTGTGGAATCACGTGTGCGAAATACTAAGGCAACGACCATTAACTTTTAAGGGGGTTGGGGGTGGGGGCTATATTTTTTGTTCCGTTTCACATTTTTTTCCAGCGAACACAAGAATCGTATTTATTTATTATCACATTTAACCTTAAAATTTATTACTTTTTTCAAAACATTGCAGCATCTTTGTCTTCCATTATCTATATTTACAATTTGATGATTTAATTAAAATGTTTGTGTATCTTGTTGTTAAATTTATACTTCAAATATTTCATTGCAATTAAGTTTCATTTAAATGTTAATGGCGAAACGCATGTTTGATTCATTCCTGCGCAAATGAATAATGGTTAGCATAAGTAGCGTATCTGACGTATGTGTATTTAAAACTATTTGTCTTTATTTTCGGATATTAAAAAGTTTTAATTGCGGTGTTCTTAAGTTTTTAAAGATACGTTTGATTCAGAAAAGAAAGCTGTTTGACAGATAAAACAAAGACAAGAATGTTATCATGGAAATGAAAAACTTGCTCCCTTTACGTACGTTCTTATCTTTCGTCTACATGTAAGAAAGCTCTTATAGTCCTCATGTTCATCACCTTGATAACCAATCCAGTACATGTATAGACCGATTGGATCAGATCATATATGACATACGATTCATGTTAGCGCATTCGATTTTTAAATGTTCTTGTTAATAAAGGTTGTTACTTGACCAATTTAAGTTTTTTTATAGTCTTCATCTGAAGAAGCATGGCTTTTTTTTCAATATTCAAACCATATGTGAATATATAAGGCTTTCCAGTTACTACGACCTAGCTGATGACCTTTGACATTTGGTTAATTATTTCCTCATTTGTCAAAGAGATATATATGTTAGTATTGTATTGAACAAAATTATTATAGCGATTACGTCTCAATTTTACTTGATATATCATTAATCTTTCATTTGCTCAGCATTGTACATGTTGTATTGTTTCTGTCAATAAAATAACTTCCTCAAGCAAAATTGGCCTTAGATGGATTTGGCTACTTTATTAAGTTATAAAGCCCCACCTATGGGCGTTATATTTTTAAGTATGTGGGTCCGTCCTTTCGTCCGTCTGTTCCGTTTTAAAGTTTTTGGTCAAGGTAGTTTTTGATGAAGTTGAAGTCCAGTTAACTTGAAACTTGAAACTTGGTACACATGTACCCTATCATATGATCTTTCTAATTTCAATGTCAAATCTACCACAATTTCACATTTCATTGAACATAGTAAATGATAGTGCTAGTGTGGAATCCGGTTACTATGGACACATTCTTTTTTTTGGTTATATAGTTTTTTAAACACATTCTAAAGAAACCGCGTTTCCATTCATTATGTTCACTTCCAAAAGTTAGGAAATAGTTATTTGCCGGTAGTTTAAACTTTAGTAAATAAATTTGCGGTTTCAACAAGAACTAACTTATCAAAAAGTGTGAAAACGCTATTGGATCGGATGTATTTTACAAATGAATGCACTAACGAATAAGTACAGTGACGGGTTTGACGTGTTGTAGAACATTTATTGATAACTCTACACGTGTTTTACACGTGACCATTACGTTGTCTTAGAAACTTTGGCTTATTGCTTTTTATTGTTACATAGCATTTTTATCATTAAGTCCTGAAAGAGAAGCAATTTGTCTTCTTACTTCGCTAACAATCAGAACAAAAAGTATAATTGTAGATTTTATATAAAATATCAAACAAAAATCTTAAGTGGTTATTTTCAAACAATGGCAAAATAAATAAGTGATACTAATCGATTTATATTTTAATCTTATTATTATAGATGAATTGTAATGCGGATTTAGAAATAAAAGTAACATATTTTGCTGAAAAGTTGTTTATGGTAGACACTTGTTTTTGGTTGCAATTTAGTGTTATCAAATATATAATAGTTTTTTTCCTAAAAGAAAACCATATCCTGCTTTTCATGTAATACTATGACTGGTTTTTTTTTTTGTTTTTTTTATCCTAAATTATATATTCATATTCTGTCCATAATCATGATAATTACACTTTGATTATTTTTGTTTATGTGAAATGCCCCATTTGCTTATTTCAAACGCTTGCCAACAATACAAATGACAGCCATTGCTAAACAAGTGTTTTGCCAAATGGTCTTCACATAGTTCTTTTTCATAAATAAAGCCAAGGAACTGTATACTCAATGTTCGATATAACATGAAACATTAGTTCATATAAAGCATTGGCCAAAATCTTCTCTAACACAACTTGGCCAGATATATTAAAGGATCCTAAAGTCTGAAATGTTGTCAGATATGAGGCCAAAAGACCAACAAAGTTTTAATTTTCATTTTATAAAAGTAAAAGACCTGTTGAAACGACCTAAATCACCCTACCTTCCTGATTGTTATTACTAGATTGTCTATGTATAAGAAATAAAACCACTTTTTCATAGCCAATTGCTTTCTATGTTTAATTCTACAAATTCAATCAATCCTGGCTTCATCTTAAATAAAGGGGCAGTCAATTCATATTAAAACTATAATTGTCCGGAAAATTCATCAAACCTTGTATTGCTTTTTGAGCGCACTAGTTCCTGGAAGTTTGGTAGTACAAAAAAAAACAGGTACTTCTAATCTGAACAACTGGAAAAAGGAAATCTCCAAATACAAGTTTTGTTTTTATTATTCAAACACAATAAGCTAAAAGTTAACTATATTTGGCAAATGATATGATCATGAGGTATACTTGTCTCTCTGGCAGGGTTTATCTTACCATAACCTCGTTTTTATTGACAGTTCATAATGTCAGTTTTATATAAACAGAGAGTTAATCTTTCATATAACACAATTTAAACACGAATTCAATCATGATAAATAAAACAGACAAGCATTTCAGTGCGGTACTCTTGTCTTTTTATAAAAGATGTATCGTTCTGGTTTAAAGTTTAAACACGAATATAGTGTTGGAAATAACTCAGTTGTTTACAATTTCATATGACCTTTGCATTTATTAACACATATATATGCCATGTTTAGTATTGTCATATATTCACCTGCTGTTCCCAACGGTCCTCTGTAGAAGGATCTGGGTTCTAGCGATTTCCCCAGGTTTTGTTTGTAACCTGGATGTGAAGTTTCTTAATCTTTTATGATATTTGAACGTTGGTTAAGTAATATTGCCTATATTTTCAAAAAATCCCCTAAGTGTTGTCATACGCCTAACATAATAACGACACATACAGTTGCCAAATATACTTTTGTCGTAATTAAAACACTAAAACAATGTTAGCAATATTTGTTAACAAAACGTAGCCATGTACATGTTTACATGACAATTTTTAATTTGAATATTTTTGTTGGAGGGTATATCATGTCAAAAGGCCTGGTATATTGTTTGAATGATCAAATTGATTTAATGACATATTTTTTTGTTATTAAAGTATGGTTATAACATACACGGTACTAATTTAAGAGCACTAGATGCGTAAGAGATATTGATTTACAAAGAATTGCCAAAATAGTACAATTGCCTAATCATTTCAATTGCACGTTCGTTCTATTAATAAATGAATAGGCTTGAAAAACCTGAAATATTTAGTAAACATATAACAGTTATGTATGATGTTCCTGTGATGTCATGAAAGTTTCTAGATTTACATAAATAGTTTTCATGATGAATTTTTAAAAAAAATTTTGCGGAAAATTAATTTAGAAATGTTCGCCACAAAAATACAAATATATCTTATTTTTATCTTTCTGTTTGACATACAAATAAAAATCAATTTTTGAATATTTAGGAATAAAAATAGTTGTCATCGACACAAAAAAGGGAACAAGTGGTCAGCATTCATGTGATACACAAAGTATGCGTATATACTCTATGAAACATGATTTATAAGGTCTATTTATTTATTCCAGGTTTAACGGGAATGGACTACAGTGTGCCTAACTATGATCAATTATAGACTTAAGGCATGTTAAATGAGACATCTGGTGGAATGATGGCTCAGCCTTGGAATGACATTTTGAAAATTCAATCTGGATGACTACGTGTATTAACAACTATCAACAAAAACTGATGTTTCTTTCTAATCTACCATTTTGGAACTTGAAATCAATTTTATAATTTATATTTGTATTTCAAAGATATGGCGCATTATTATTAATCTTGTTGTAATCAGGGGTGTACAGAATTTCACAATGGTGTGGAAAATTCATACACCCGGTGGAGCATCCGAAAGGTGTATGTATTTTCGACACCAGAGTAGATTCCGTACACCTGTGATACCATCAAGATAACAAATGTATTTATTTTGAAGCGTTTCTATAGTCAGTGTAAAATTAAAAATGCTTATGAAGATATCCCACAACAACATTTTTATCAACTACGATGTTGCTGAGCATTGTAAAGTTTTATTTACTTTTCTTTATTTCTGGAATTTTTGGCAAAATGTTATCTTTTTTGAACATTTGTCAAAAATTCTATCACAGGTGAAAAAGGATGGGGTGTTTTTTACAATAAATTAACCAACAATATTTCAGGATTCTTCCTTCATAAGAAATGATAAGCATTAACTAAGTCTGTTTTATTTATGTATCAGTTTGTATATTATTTTTCAAATGTAATCAATGAGTAATTAAAGTGTTTACTAGTCAACTTCTGAAAAGATACAATACTACAGAATATGTTAGAAATCAATGTTTCATCAAAACAATTCAGAAAATGCAATTAATGTGTTTAATCTTAAGATGCACATGAGAAAACGAACACAATATGTAATTTCATATTGTGTTATGTAGCCGACAAAACTGACGAAACTACGGCTTTACAGCTTAGTCATATACATCCACTATACAAGTTTGATTGAAATAAACTGAGTTGTAACTTTCTTTTTGAGGAGTGGTAGTAGCTGTTTAGACATTTTCGATTCGTTTGAGCAAGAATGTTCACGTCTTAAATTCCGTCCCACAAATGCTACATTAGAAATTTATTCAGTTTAAAATAATTTAAGATCTTCTGCTTAGCTGTGAATTTGTATGCGTAAAGTTTATTTCAAATTAAAATCTTCTGTTTGCATGTTTATGCTGCAATAAGAAATAATATCATTTCTAAAAAAACCGACATCAATTATTCAAAAAAACATTTGTGTATCTTTACTTTTGTTGGCTAGTAAATCTAATCATTGCTGTTTTATGAAGACAGCTGCGATTTGTATTTACTGTAATGTTAACAAATCTCCAATACATTGTGTATTATTGATATTAATGAATAAGCAAGTAAAACTTTGAATTACATTTTATCAAATATGTAATAAATACAAACACCAGCAGAATAAGCAAAGTGCCGTTTGAGGTGTATATTTTCCATGTTTCACAAGTGTCCTTTGTAGTAAAAAAGGACTTGATTGGACTGATAGTTAGTTTGTATTGTATATTTCATAGGCATGTAAACGTAAACTATGTGTTATTAAATTTGGAGATCGTGAACTGTTGAAATAAAACAATGTTTTATAGATGTTTCCCCCAGATACATAATTGTTGTAATCAATCTGATACAGAAACTACTCAACTATATATTATTTATTTGCGATCCCTCTCTTCTTCTGGATTATTCATGGCGTGTTCATGATGATCTATGTGGAAGTGATCAGTTTCCAATAGTACTTGAACATCTTTTTACTTCTGCCCAACAGAGAGTACCACGTTGGAAACTTGACAAGGCGGACTGGTCCTTGTTTGAGAATCTCTGTCAAGCGGAACTTCAGTCAAAGATGTTTGAGACTGTACAAGATCCAATTTTAACTTTTAATACAGTTTTAACGTCAATTGCTGACAGAACTATTCCTAAGACCTCGGCAAATCTGAAACATTCCAGCAAACCATGGTTTGGTGATACTTGTGATCAAGCAATAGGTGATCGTAAAAAATCTGAAAGACAGTTCAATCAACAACCAACGACGGAAAACTTGAGTAATTTCCGTGTTTTTCGCGCTAAGGCACGGCGAACTTGCAGGCAAGCACGACGAACGTCTTGAAAGAAATTTGTCTCGGAGATAACATCTCGCACTCCGATGACAAAAGTATGGAACATGATACAAAAGATAAAAGGTAAAAATTCTAAAGCCACAGTTAAACATTTAAAAAATGGCAATGATTTATTAACATCTGAAAAAGATATTGCCAACAAGCTTGGTGAAACTTTTGCGAAATCTTCTTCTTCTAACACCTACAGGGAAGATTTTAAAAAAGTTAAAAAACAAAAAGAAAAAATTAAATTAAACTTTAAATCAAAAAATGGTGAAAATTATAATAAACTCTTTTCTCTTGAAGAACTTAAAACATCTCTGTCAAAAGCCCATGATACAGCTTGTGGGCCTGATAATATTCACTACCAACTGTTAAAGCACTTGCCAGATTCCTCGCTGGAAGCTCTTTTGCAGCTTAGGAATAACATCTGGGAATCTGGTGATTTACCATCAATCTGGAAGCTTGCAACCGTCGTGCCTATTCCAAAACCAAGTAAAGATCACACGGATCCTATTAATTATCGGCCGATTGCTCTTACCAGTTGTGTCTGTAAAACACTAGAACGGATGGTCAATGATCGCCTTGTTTGGTTCCTGGAATCCAATGGGCTTTTAGCCAATATCCAGTGTGGATTCCGCCAAGGTCGCAGTACTCTTGACCATCTTGTTCGATTCGAATCATTTGTCCGTAATGGTTTTGCGAAAATGAACATGTAGCGTCGGTCTTTTTCGATCTAGAAAAAGCCTATGATACTGCATGGAAGTATGGTATTTTAAAAGATCTCTTTGATATGGGGTTGAAAGGCAATATGCCAAATTTATTTCGAATTTTCTATCTAACAGACAATTTAATGTTAGAGTAAATTCAACCATGTCTGATCTGTATGATCAAGAGATGGGTGTCCCTCAGGGCAGTATTTTATCTGTTACATTATTTAGTCTTAAAATCAACAGCCTTGTTGAAGTTTTAAAAAGTAATATTGAAGGTTCATTGTATGTTGATGACTTTTTAATATGTTATAGAGGCAAAAATATGAATAACATAGAAAGACAATTACAGTTATGTCTTGGAAGAATTGAAAATGGGCCTCGGAAAATGGTTTTAAATTTTCCACTTCAAAAACGGTCGGGATGCATTTTTGTAACAAAAGGAAATTGCATCTTGATGCAGAACTCACTTTGTACGGCAACCCAATTAAAATGGTTGATGAAACCAAATTTCTTGGGTTAATTTTCGATAAAAAGTTAACCTTTCTACCCCATATCAAAATGTTAAAATCGAAATGTTTAAAAGCATTAGATATTTTAAAAGTTGTCGGCAGCACCGACTGGGGTGCTGATCGCAACATTTAACTTAATTTATATAGATCTCTAGTTAAATCTAAACTAGATTATGGCTCTATAGTGTATGGCTCTGCAAGGAAGTCCTACATACAGATTCTCGATGCTGTGCATCATCAGGGTTTGCGTCTCTGTCTTGGCGCATTTAAAACCTCACCAGTTGAGAGTCTGTATGTAGAGGCTGATGAGCACTCACTCTCTAACAGACGTTTGAAGCTTGGACTTCAATATGCTGTCAAACTAAAAACCTACTCAGATAATCCTGCCTACAGCTGTGTTTTTAATCCAATTTATGAAGATATTTTTGCAAAACATGAAATAAAATTCCTCCGTTCGGTATACGTTTAAAACCACATTTAGCTTCTTTTGATTTAAAATCTGTTGCTCAAATTGAAACTTGCAAATGTCCTCCATGGGAACTTCCCAAACCAAAAATGATATTTGATCTCCGTGAACACAATAAAAATAAAACAAATCCTCTTTTAATTCAGCAACACTATGCTGAAATCAAAGCCAATTTATTCAGATTTTTCAACTGTCTATACTGATGGATCAAAAGATGGTGACAGAGTTGCATCTGCTGCTGTCTTCAGGGACAGAGCTGCAACTCTCCGTTTGCCATCTGATGCATCGATCTTTACTGCTGAAGCAGAAGCAATGATTTTGGCTTTGAAATTTATTGCTTCTTCAGATAAATCCAAATTTGTTATATGTTCTGATTCACTTTCAGGCTTACAAGCTATACAAAATACTAAAATTAAAAACCCAACAATTCTCAAAATTTTATATGTAATGAGGAATTTAAAAATTCTTCTTAAAGAAATATTATTTCTATGGGTGCCGAGTCATGTTGGAATCCTTGGAAACACAGCTGTAGACCTTGAGGCAAAGAATGCCCTTGGTGACCCTTTATCTAACTGTGATATACCATATACCGATTTTAAATCTAATATTAGAGAATATGTTTTTAATATATTGAAAAATGAATGGAGTAAAAAAGATGGTAATAAATTACATGAGATTAAACCTAATTTATGTAAACCTTTCAATAATGTTTTGTGCAGAAAAGATCAGTGTGTTATTTCTAGATGTCGTATTGGTCATAATAGAATAACACACGATTATCTTTTCAAAAAATGAAGAAGAACCACAATGTATACCTTGTAACTGCAAGTATACTATTAAACATGTTTTAATTAATTGTATTGACTTTGCTGATATTCGTAAGAAGCATTTCAATGTCAATAATATGTATTATTTATGTAATAATGTTTCATTTACAAATATTGTTTCATTTTTAAAAGAAGTTGGAATATATTCTAAAATATAAAAATGTTATTATATTTAAAACGATTTTAAATTTTATCACGTTATCTTAATGTTCATTTTTATTTGTAAATAATCAATTTGCTTTAATCTAAAATTTTAGTTTATTGAAGGGCCTTTTGTCTGATTTTAAGAATATGCTTTAAATTATAAAAAATATTCGAATTAGCTCTCGCCGCGATATAGCCTTGTTGTGCTAATGCGGCGTAAAGCAACCAACAATCAATCAATCAATCAATCATTTCGAGAAATGAAATGACACTGTAAACAAAAATAACAGTTTTAAATAACAAAATGCAGTCATGAACATAGTTGTGTAGTGTGAAAAAAAACTCATTTGTCTAGGTGGTACAAATAAGGATATGTAATATGCTTGCCAATGAGCCAAGTTCATGTATCTACTAATAAATGATATGGACATCAACAACTAGATGTCACCGTATGACATTCACTAATGCATAACTTAACGAAAAGTATGATATAAAAGGGCCATTTATGACAAGTGACACAATTCACATTCAAGATGACAACGGCTTATATAATTTATTCACTGTATTTTACTTGATACTGCAGATTATTTTCTGTTCGTTGACGACGTTAACATGGAAACATCAACCAAATCCGAGAATTCAGGTTTGTATTTAATTCCCTAAATAGTTTCTGATAAAATAAATTTTAGTATTTGTTTTTCCAATTGAATGAGCATTAAACTATATAATGAAAATTTTAAACTATCGATAGGTCACCTACATCAGTACTGAATGTATTGATCAGATGAGTATTCGAATGTTAGACAAACAGTAGTTAAGCTATATTGAAATATCATAAATCAATTAAGAAAATAAAACAAGGTACAAAAAAAAACAAAAAAACAACGAAGAACGTAAATAAATGCGTCGATAGAGTAAGCGTCTTCTGCTATGCTTGCTAACCCTCAAAGCGACACCAAATTCAGGTTCCGGAAAACACATTCATACCTTAGACTGGAATTGTTTATTGTAGCCTCGTAGTTTGTAAGCAAATTCTCTTAGAAATTTTACTGTTGTTGTCAGTTGTAGTCAAACAATTATCTTCAAAAAAGTTACATTTCGTTAAAATTATAATGTTAAGGAAACTATTGAATGCATGCAAATTTTGACACCATCTTATGGTGTTTACATATCCCAACTATTTGCTGTTGTATGTAACAACGTATTTGATTTCTTCAAAAGAAATCTCTGTATTACTGAAAAATTATTACACCAGGGTTTTCGATATAAAAAACTAGTCAAAACATTTACTAAATTTTATCATCGGTACAAGGACATCAATCGTGAATATGAATCAACAAACAGACATCTTAAACGTTCGGGTATTTCACATCTGTTATGGTATTATTCTATACAAAGCACAAACGTGTCGGCATTCACCTCAAAACCTAACCAAATCTTTAAACTTACTTATTCATTTAGTTACAATACTGTTGTCAGGTCATTAAAGATGACATGTGTTGGTATTAATTTTGATTCACTCATAGGGTCGTTACATCAGAAATAAACACATTTATTCTCAAACCTGTTGTTGGCATGATACAGGTTATATTCATCTCATATATGTTATGGTGGTATTATTGTAAAGCCCTAACGGGAGGGATTGTGCTTGCTTTTCATATGATCAGTTCCAATTGAGGTCTGAAGCTTGCATGCCATTAACTGGTAGTAGTCCTTTGTTAATTTATGTATCATTGTCATTTTGCTTAGTTTATTGTG